CGGAAGACCCACACCAGCCATCATATTCCGGCTGTGAAAGCCTTCGACAATACATTGAAACTATCATAAATAATTACTATAAATATTAAGAACAAAAAAACAAGAATGTACCCTTCATGAACTCCAAGTAAAAAAAAATGCAAGGGAATTCATGAAGACAGAGCTAAAAGTAAAGAAAATTTAAAAATAAGAGGTCCTATCCCTACAACATACACTTAAAATTGAGTCAGATTAGATTTATCCCTAAAGAAACCCAATCTCATTTAGGTTAAATTAGGGACTGACAGAAAACAGAAAATATATTTGGTTTTGAACCTGAAACAAACCACTGTGTTCTCCAGGTTCTGTGGAACTATTTTGGGTTGGCCATGGTTCAACAGAAGTTATCTTGGTTGTTCTAGGTTTGGTTTGAAACAGAATTCAAGGGAATCTAGAACAATTTTATGGGCTGAATGGGATGCGGTTGTGCTCCCCCCCTTCTCCCCCCCCCCCCCAGCAGCTCCCAATACAGCATAGCCCACATGATTTTCCCAGCATCTTCCCTCCCTCATCTTCCCTGATTTCCGTGGCTTTTCTACTCTCAATCCACCACGAACACCTTTCGACCGGAGTTGCATTTCAGTTGGCATTCAGAATAAAACAAACCTGTTTTGTTTTGTATGCAGACTAAAACATTTTGTTTTGCACATCCCATCCAATCAACCAGCGTAGAATCTTCCAGTTTTGAGGTTACTTAATTTTCTAAAATCCAGGCAAAGTCCTAGAGAAGCTGCAAAAGTGGGGCTTCTCTAGCCATGCTGTCTCTATGTCCGTTTCGGTTTTCATACACAACCTCAGCTACACAGGGAGGTGGTGTAAAAGAACCTGAGCAGATATGGGCAGGAAACAGGTAATCACCCCCGAACTTGTCCATGGCAGTTCTATCCTGAATCAACCCATATGGATTCTTCCTTTAAAAGTTCACCGTTTGGATCAAAACAAGGAAGTGGGACAGGAAGCAGAAGCCTCCCCCCGCCTTTGCAGCAGCTGGGAGAATGGCTGACTATGCAGACCAAGTCATCTGTGATTGCAAGCTGCCCACACACAGCACGAAACCTACAAACAGCAAGAGAATACAACTAGGTCTCTCGGTTGCGTTTTTTGTGGTACACGTGGTACGCTCTGTCTGGACATATAGAATCTTGTCCTTCTTCTTGTTTTTTTAATCTTTTTTAAAGTGTGTTAGTCTCCCAGAATTGTTCTGGAGTCAGCCAGCTTCTAAATTTAAAAATAATAAAAAGTTGTGGGTATTATGGGAACAGACCCAGAGGATGAAAAAAAATTAAGAATCCTTATTTCCATGACATTAATTGACAATATACTTTGTACCTCTTTATCTACAGACTTCTACTAGACACAGAAAGGTGGCAAAATTATTTCACTGCTGCAATAAAATACTTGTTTCAAAAAAAAAAATAAAAAAGGGAAACAAGTTATACATCTGCAATTACAGAAAACTCTACAAACGAGATTTTACCACTTTGGAAATAACAAGACTACAATAAAGCTGCAACAAGTCTGAGTAACTTTTGAGATATTTCAAAGACTCATCGGCTGAATGAGGGATCCAATTAACAGACCATAAAAAAATGTGTTGGCATTTTATTATAAACAGGTGTTGGATTAAGAGCAGATCACAAGATTAAACCTCTCCCAAAGAGGTTTCAACCCAAGTAGACAATAAAACCTTCCACATCTGGAAGAAAGATCTGAGATTGTTGGATCGTGAAAGTTGCAGGAACAAGGACAAAATATTGCAGATTCTTCTCCTTCACCAACAGCATGTCATCTGAAAAAGTCTGCCAATTACCAGCCACCTGTTTGGCATCATCCTAAGAGATTTTGGACAGATCCCATTTAAGCCTTCCTGTTATCTTGAGCAGGCTTCAGTTCTTTGAAAGTTAACGTAAGGAAGTCTACAATGCATCAAAGCCCATCAAATGCAACAGGGGGAGGTGAACAGGCAGTAGTAGAAGCCATGCTGATGTCACATGCATCATTTGCGTGACGACACTGATGGGTGTCACATCCCTGGCTCCACCCATGAACATCCACGGGAAGATGAATCCTTTCAAATTCTTACCATGTCTGAGCTGATGTTTCATGTAACACATCTGTCATAAAGAGAGAGCCTTTTGGAAGCCCTTGGATGAGATCCCAGGTAAATCACAGAAGGTAACTGCATTCTGCAGTTCTGTTATGGATGGCTTCCAGTTGACCAATCCCATTCTCCACTGCATTCTTTACGATACAAATATTATCAGCCAATTATTAGAAAAAAATCGATTGAAGCTATAATTGTTTTTCAATTATAACCTGTTTCCACCCCAGATGTTGCTGGCAGAGAAGACCCCAACGGCTCTCTGCTCTTCCATTACGTCTCTTGGGTTAGATTGTTCACAAACGGCCCCAGATACCAAAATAGACAATAATCACCGGTTTCCAGACCAAATAAAGGAGATTAAACAATTGTCAGGATACAAAGAGAAATAGGAGGTCTCAAAGTGAGCTGAACTTTCTCCAACCAAGTCTCCATCTTGGCTGGATACTGTGTGGGTGCTTTCATGCTGAGTCAGTTGCTCGCTGTATTTAAAGTCCTTTCCACACACTAAGCACTGAAATGGTTTCTCATCAGCATGAGTTCTTTGATGCGAAGTCAACTGATGCCTAAGAGCAAAGCGTTTTCTACACTCCAGGCATTCATAAGGTTTCTCTCCCGTGTGGATTCTCTGATGCTTATAAAAGTTCCCACTCATCCGGAAACTCTTTCCACATTCCATGCACGTGTAGGGTTTTTCCCCTGTGTGGATCGTCTGATGTTTATAAAGGTTACCTCTCTTGCTGAAGCTCTTCCCACACTCCAGGCATTGATAGGGCTTCTCCCCGGTGTGGATCCGTTTATGGGCCGTAAGGTTACTGCTCTTGCTGAAGCTCTTCCCACACTCCAGGCATTTATAGGGCTTCTCCCCAGTGTGAGTTCTCTGGTGTGTATTTAGGCTTCCGCTGTTGCTGAAGCGTCTTCCGCACTCCATGCATTTGTATGGTTTCTCTCCTGTGTGGATACTTCGATGCTGGGCAAGATGCTGGCTGCGGCTGAAGCATTTTCCACAGTCGGCGCACTGAAAGGGTTTCTCCCCCGTGTGGATGCTCCTGTGCTGAATGAGATGCTGGCTGCGGCTGAAGCACTTTCCACAGTCCACGCACTCGTAGGGTTTCTCCCCTGTGTGGGTTCTTTGATGGACCGTAAGGCTGAAGTTCTGCGTGAAGCTCTTTCCACACTCCAGGCATTTATAGGACTTTTTCCCCGCGTGAGTCCTCTGATGGGACAGCAGGTGGCTGCTCATACTGAAGCTCTTTCCACATTCTAAGCATTTGTAGGGCTTCTCCCCTGTGTACGAACTCGGAAGCAAATTATGACTGAAGTACATCAGAGGAGGCTCCATGTACTTCCCACTGTTCTGCCCATTACCTGCTGAAGAGAGAAAAAAATTAGACGTTTAAAGCAGAAACGGAGAGGGTCATTAGAGAAGACGCCCCCTTAGCTGCATCTATATTTCTGCATTTCCAGGTTCCCTGCAGCTTTCCTAGGTGTGTTTTGTTGGTTTGTTATTTTAAAGTGTTTGTATCCTACAAAATCATATAACTCTGGGCAGCGCACAGCAGCATAAGAAGTGGGAGAATAGCCAGGGGTCACTCACAATCCCATCACAGACCAAAGGCGCATTGAAATAAAACGATCATCGCAACCAAAGGATTTGTGAGGCCCACCATACTTCCAGGGACAGCCCATCCCAACATGTGGGGCCTTTGGGATTTTATCTCCTCTGCCCTGAAACGGTGAGTAGTTTTTGAATATGCTACCAGTTCAGATAATATTTTTAGGTCCAATTTTCACTTGATTTAGGAGAGATGCATTTCCCCCATTTACCTATGACATGCATAGTATCAGTTTTTAAAATGTGACGTAATGAGGAAATGTGTAAGGCACGGGGACAGAAGGAAAAAACTGCAATAACAGGAAGGCCCAACTGAAAATAAAGTTGCCTGCCAGCCACTGGTCTAAATTTGCCCAATTAGAAGAACAGTTGGCAAAAACAGGCTGAGATGACTGCAAATCCATATAGCGTGAGAATGAATTAGTATAACAGAACGTAAAGCAAATTCCTCATTGGATCCAAACGCAAACACCCTCACCTACAGCCCAGTATGATAACTGACAAGGATTTACTCCGAATGTACTTTTGTACACAAAAATGGTCCAATACAGTAAAATCTCCATTTTACCAACTTCCATTCAGCAGACTTTAGATGCAACAGACCACATCTGAATCCAGACTGGTGGGTCAAACAATAAATACATAAAAACATGCTGTAACACCGATGTACATTAATTTGCATGCAATGAGCCCCATTCTCCCCATGTGGCCTGTAAAACTGAGTTGGACCACGACCTGTTTTCTCCAAGAGAATCTCAGTTTATAGCCAATGGCCTTTCGAGCACCTTCTCCAGAATGGGATACTAGTGAATCTTGTGAGCTCTGCCTGTTGGGTAGACATTGCAAATCTCTAAACCACATGAAACTGGAATAAGTGGGCAGCAGAACTGCCAGTCAAAAGCATGGCACCGCAGGGTCATCTCTTTACAGTCTGCATCACAGAAAGAGGAAGGAACTGAAGGATATGTATTGGGATCCATACATCCCAAGAAAAGAGATAAGCCAAATGGATCCTTTAGAGATCTACCAAGGTTAAGGGATTTTGAAAGAACAGATAAGAAAACCATGCCTATAACCAGGAGGGTACGTGACAGAAACAGCTCTACCAGATGGGCAGCCCTTTTGCCATGGATGTGCCAGGAAATTAATGCATTTGAGAGGAACAGGCAGAATCATCAGGTAAAACTTAGTTCTACCTGAAAGTAATGGATCAGTTTCTCTTGGCAATATTAAATGCCATCTGAAAGATTCCTCAAGGCACTTTCCCCCAAAAACATTGAGCAGGTTCCTGCTGATCCCTCACCTTCTTCAGAATTCCAGAAGAATGGATCTTCTCCTTCCAGCCAGGAGACGAACTCTGGTTTGGGCATTTCTTGGGAGAAGTAAGAGAGAATAATTACTTCTGACTAGAAAATATTTTTTCCCAATTATTTGAGCCCAGAACACAGAAGCTCCCTTACCCAGAGAGGCCACGCTCCTAGCGTTCTCCAGCATGACTTCCCCATGGAGAGCTTTCTGGTTGGAATCTAGAAGATCCCACTCTTCCTCAGTGAAATACACAGCCACCTCCTCAAAGGAGACAGGACCCTGAAAGAAGATAAGGTCCCCTACTTATAGACAGGTCAAGGAGGATGTCCAAGAGATACCCAGTGGGCATTTTCTGCAGGATCTAACAGGAGAAAATGGGCAGAATCCACAACTTATTAGCAACTTAACTGATTCTACAGGACTTTCAACGCCATTCAATGAAAGCAACCACACCATTCTTCTGGATCAACTGGCAAATGGGCCTTGGACAGACAATTCAGGGTATCCAGTCCTTGCTCAGTTATTTCATTCACAGAAAATGAAAATGTTGGGGATTTCCTGTCTGATCTTTAGACAATAGCCTGTGGTGTCCCCTGAAGGCCCCATCCTACCCAAACTCAACAACTTCATCCAGGATTGAACAAGCTGCCATCAATAATATTGATTAGATTTATATTCTGCCATTCATTCAGGAGCTCAAAGTAGCATATGTACCACTCCCTTCCAATTCTATGAGGTAGGCCAAGCCAGGAGAGAGTGACTGGCCCAAGTCACCCAGGAAATTTTGGTGGCTGAGGGAGGACTTGAACCTGGGTCTCCCCATTCTTAGTCCAACACCTTCACCATCACCTATATCACACTGGCTGTCAACACCAGATTACACCCAGCCCAATTCCTGCTTCTCAGATTCCAGAGAAGCTGCTTGGGGTCTGAGCCTCTGGCTGGCTGGGAGCTAAGAAACAGAAGTTTCTTCTATCATTCTCAAAGGCCTTCTGGCCAGACAGAAGATTGCTAGATTCCATTTTGCATCTGAATATCCTAAAAACAGTTGATGGTTATGAGTTCTTCAGCGTTAGGGCTGGTCCACCAACTGTACCTGTTCCTATGCTATTTCTACTGAAGGTGTTGTGCATGACTGAAAACAACAACAACACAGTGGTCTGTTCAAACAGAGAAAAGGAGAGTCCCACAAAGTGTCAATAAATGAATATGTCTCTCCCCATGAACCTCTTAGGAGTGCATCTGTAAGGTTTTCTCCTGTTTTATTTCGGCAACATTTCAGGGCACATCTCCAGAAGGATCTTGACTAGAGGACATGCCTTAGGAGGAGAGGTTGAAGGCACTTGGGATGTCCAGTCTGGAGGAAAGAAGACTGAGGGGAGACAGAGTATCAGGATGGATGACCACCTCTCAAGGATGGTCTTGCTGGTTTTCCTGCACATTTCAATGGGTTGGACTGATGATCTTGGTAGTCTCTTCCAACTCCATATTTCTAAGATACTTTAAGTCTTGCGAGATCGGCTCAGCTGAGCCTGATCCTTTCTGTACCTGAGCTGGAGGTTCAGCTGTTCTTTCTGCTCCACCACAAAACGGAGACATTTCACTGAACATCAGGGAAACAGTTCTGCTCCCTGTGAGGGAGAAAAATATGGAGAAAACAGAATTTTAAAGCAAGAATGCATTCTAGGAAAAGGTAGAGCACCACCTTACTCATGCAGGGCTAATGAAATTATTATGCAGGATGTTCCAGGTATTACCATGAGAGGAGAAAGAAACGAAGTTGGGATATGTCTTCAGAGGAAGCGTTCCTTCTTACCTGGTAAGATCTCGCGACTTTGACTCTCCTGGAAGTTCCCCCCCAAAACCAGCTCCTCTGGACGACTGGAGAATTCCCTGCTTGCTGTCACCTCCACAAAGGGTCCCTCTCCCTGAAACTCCAGACAAAGGTAAAAAGAAGCAACGTGACAGGAAAAAAAACCCTCACTCTCCATCCACAGTTCTGAAGCCCACCTAGACCATCAGTGATGCTAAAGGAGAACTTGGGCTTCCCACATCTCCTGGGCAATAACCCAGAAGGGTCAGTAGAACAATTTGCTAAAGAAGGAGGGGAAAACTCTCCTCCTCTCCTAAGGTCCAGGAAGGCGTTGTAACAAGGGAAAAATATTGTTTTCCCTTATTACAACCCCTTCACCCCAACAACATGTAGGTCTCTCACCTGCTGCTCCCCCTGCTCCTTCTGCTCCTCCGCCTGGCTCAGCAGGAAGCCCTCGGCCAGGGCCACCGCCTGGGAGCTGGTCTCCGCTCCGCACTCCCGCACCCAGCTCTCCATCTCCGCGGGCAAGACAGCCAGGAACTGCTCCAGGAGCACCAGGTCCAGCATCTGCGCCTTGGTGTGCCTTTCGGGCTGCAGCCACCGATGGCAAAGCCGATGGAGTCGGCTGCAAAGCTCCCGCGGCCCCTCGGCCTCCGGGTGCCCGAAGCCCCTGAAGGGCTGGACGTCCTGAGCGAGGGCTCCTTCTTCTTCCAGGATCTCCACCCTGGTTCCTCCCCAGAATTCTCTGCGGCTCCCCGCTAGGACACCGCGGAAGCTGTCCGCAGCTTCCTCGGGGGCAGCAGAATGTGCGTTCATTTTCTGCCGCTGCTCGGACACCGCTCCGGAAGGGAGCCAAAGATTCCCTGGATCCCCAAAGCTGTTTCCATTCATGGGGGCAGAACGGCGCGGATGGGCCCCAGGCGGCAGGTGCCTCTCGGGCGGTTCTCCCGGGGAAGCGGAATCCTGGCAGAACCGGGCGCTTCCTACTCCCGATCTAAGGCGGAGAGGAAAAAGTCAGACTCGGAAGGCAGGGAGGGAGGGATCTTTGCTGCGTCTTGGACGGGACTCCCTCTCTCTTGGACTTTCCTCCCTCTCTCGGAGAGCATCTTCCTCCTGCGAGGGCAGCCGTCCCTCGGAAACCCTTTTTGGAAAGATCCGAGGGGGGGAAGTCCCCAGCCCAGCCAGCCAGGGTCCCCTCCGCCTGGCCTGGCCTGCCCTTTGCACGCCCCCGCACCGAAGCCGCGCTGCGGTTCCGCGGATGTCCGCGGGGCGGCGCGGGGCGCCCAGGCGGCCGCTAGAGGGCAGCCTAACGCCCACGGGACCGGCGGCGCCCTCCAGCGGTCGGGCAGATTAGCGCGAGCCCG